TGATTTCCGAATGGTTACAGAAATCCCAGTGCACCAGCACTCAAGAATGAACATCTGTGTATTACTATGATGAGAGAGTGCGTACTGGCATGGTTTTAGCGAATATTCATTTGATGTTTCCACAGCTTCTGGCTTCGTACTCTGGCCTTGAAAGCGACGGACTCATTTGTCGAGCGCTTCCTCCGGGATTTTGAAGAATACTTGGAGACCGTGTGGCAGCAAGCTGTGGATCGGGAGACTGGCCTCGTGCGCCCCACCGCCGATTACTTCAAAATGCGACGGGGTACTATTGGTGTTCGCACATCTACGACATTTATGGTGGTTGTAGAGGACCTTCCAAAGCTGGTCGCTGAGCATCCATATGTGGAGACTATGATTCGATGCAGCATCGATTTGAGCATTATGTCGAATGTAAGGCAACTTTCCTGACCTCGTCAAACTCACGCCGAGCTCACACGATGTACAGGACATCTACTCGTTCAACGTCGAGCAAGCACACGGAGATCAGGCTCACAATCTGGTTTCAGTCACCATGGCTGAGCGAGACGTCGACATCCAAGGCGCTATCGATATTATCAGTGCTGAATACGACCGCTGTCGCCTCGAATTCTTGCGCCACTTCAACAATTTGCCCGACTTCGGAAATCCGAAAGTCAATGGTGTCCTGGAGCGCTTCTGTCTCCGCCTGGGAAGCTGGGTCACTACCAACGACGAATGGTCCTTCCTCACTCCACGATACTTCGGGGAAGAGTACGAGCAGGTGCGCAAGACGAGGACAGTCAAGCTCCTTCCACGCATTGTTCCTGCAAACGCGCATGTTTCTGAGAGCAAAGCATTTGTACGACAGCGATAGATCACCTAAACAGATATGATGGAAATAGCCAAATAATAGACAACCGAATGCCAGTAGAATGTTACCTTGATTGAACCAGAACCTGATTGGTGCACTGAGTTTGTGAGCAGAAGACCAAAAGCATCGTCCGTGTCGCCGTGTCCGGGGTCGCCTAAATAGTACGGAAAACTGGCAATCGAGAGCGGTGCAGCAGAGACGGCTAGGCCTTTAAAGAGTCGGCGCGCGGTTGCTTGTGTATGAAAAAGCAGTCAGAAAATGGAACGTCGGCGTTGGGAGTGGGTAGTATGGATTGCGGGCACAAGAGATGAATAAAACGGTGATAGAGACGGGGTACATCAACAAAGCTAGAAACATAAAGACGTTACAGTAGGATATCCAAATTCAGCATTCGTCGCAGATTACATCCACATCCCGCGGTCCCAGTTGGGATCTTGGAGGAACGCGCAGAGAACCTTGGAGCCTGTCTGGAGTAGTGGATGACCGGCAACGATGCTCAGGAATCTGTGGAGATACTCAGCAGGGAGGACAAGCGCTAGAACGCAGACACGCACCTTTCCAGACCCTCTCGTCGTTGCTCAATGACTTCGTCGCTAAACCTGTTCGTGAAAACCTTGCCGGGGAGCGGCGGGATATTGACGCGAGTGCTCTCTCGCTCGAGAATGTCGCGGAATGCTTCAAAGTCCGAATAGCGGCGGCGGACAAGCGAATGGCGGAGCTTGAAGGCGGGGATGTTCGTCTTGGTGACGATTTCGTAAGTCGTAAATTGTTTGCGGCCGTAGCCTACGGTGGGCGTGAGTTTCCCTGTGAGGATGGGCGCCCGACGTGATGCGCACCAGTTGTCACAGGGTTGCGGACTTCAATTTCGAGGAAGGATTCCGGGACAGAATACATCTCTTCAATCTGGAACAGTGCCAGTGAGAACAAGGAAAATGGAATCAGCGGTGAGCACGCACCGTCTGTTCCCTTCCGACTCCCTCTTCAAATGCAGAGCTGCGCGCAAACGGGGAGACAGTGGTCATTCTGGCGGTCCAGGCTTATCGGGTGGAAATGTTCCTAGGCAGCAGCACTGTAGCATGAGCTATAATCGCCATTTTGACGGACATTGATAGTTGAACACACGTTTTACAGGTGGAATGGATGAGAATGCAGCGCTCAGACGAGTAGCTGTCCTGACTGAGTGCTTCCAAGAACAGTATTCTTAGGGTTAAGGTCGTGATGCCATCGGGATCAATGCCGTGCCGAAGTCCGATCGTGTTTCCCACAATGCACATGAACAACGATGTTAAGTAGGATCGTTGTAATGGTATGCAATGAGTAGTCCTGCTGAATATACGAAATAATCCATTCTGATGATAGGGAAATCACTACATGGGTGCGCGCATTCCTCTTGCATTCGCCTTCATAATCCTACGTATCCTCTTCGGCCTCCGGCTTCCGAGTATGGGCGGTAACTCTCTATGACCAACGCTGTCTTCATTTCCCATAAACGCTCCAAGCTGTCAGTTGAGTAGGTTATAACGGTGGTTTGACGGTGGTGTTGGAGGAACCAAGCTCGCTGTCGCTGGCCTAGTATTTATCGAACCACGGCACTATCAGTTCTCACAGATTGTCTCCCATCATGGCACTCGACGTAGGTATTGTTGGTGCTACCGTCCTTGCCCTAGGAATTGCGATCTACAAACTTTTCTTCGACATTCCAAGTCTTCCGTCTTATATACCGGGTCCTCCGTCGCCATCTTGGGTTGCAGGTAAATGTTAAAACGCCATCCACGTTAGTACACATTATCTAAACAGTGCATAGGACATGTCATCGATGTTCTGGGTAATCAAGAACGCATGGGTGGCCTCGAATCTCGATGGTTCAGACATTATGGAGCCACAATCAAGACGAAGGGAACATTCGGGGTGCGCTGAACGTAGCTCAATCTTATCTTGCGCTAAAGCTCGACACTTAGCGTGATATTCTTATGACCTCTGATGCAAGGGCGCTTAACTACATTCTCAATGCCACAGGCTACCGCTACGAAAAGACCCCAGAGCTGGCGATGTCCTTGATTACGCTTGGGGGTCCGGGACTACCAGCAGTCACTGGTAAATTCTTGACGTTCGATGCCTTCGATTGGTCTGACACCTCTGCCTAGGCATGGTTCATCAGCGCCAACGGAAGGTCTTCAGTCCGGCTTTTTCTGAGAGTCGTATCCGTATGTTCGCCCCCGTATTTCAGCGTATTTCGAAGAATGTTGGTATTCATTGGCAGATCCGTTCGCGGGCAAAAAGCACTTACATCGTTCGTCCTAGCTGTCTCAAGCAATCAAAAACACCATTGGGAAAGATGGAGGAGCCGTCAACATGCACCTGTGGTTTGGTCGTGCTTCTTTGGACACCATTGGAGAAGGTTCGACCCCTTGGGGAACGCTCCAGATTTTCAATAACCACTTTTCTTGCAGCGGGCTTCAGCCATTCTTTTAACACCCTTCTCGAAGGCGACTGCGAGATCAGCGAGATATTGCACCACTTCCTGTATGCCTCTTCCACCTTATGTAGGCGTCTGAATTCTGATGACCTGCTACAGAGACGACACGGGGAGCAACAGCAAGGTCTTCCGCGTTGCGATTTGGGCGTTGGAAAACTTCCCAATCTTACAGGAGATTCTCGCACGCTCACCTGTTGGAGTAAACGCCCAATTCATGAAGTTCAAAGCGCGCTCTAGGGATTTGTCCGCAGATATCGTTCGAGATGTGAAACAGTCGGTCGGGGAGGGGGAGATGGACAATATGTTGAGCATCCTGGGTCAGTGACGTGACGCGCACACCGCCGGCCTCTACTCAATGTCTTCGTAGTGCGCGCAAATCAAGGCGAAGATGAGAAGAAGAAACTCTCGGAAGAGGAGCTACTTGCTCAGGCGGCGTAAGCATGCTAGCTCCAACGCTTCTCGTCAATAACAGCTTTGCTAGTCATCTCATGGCTGCAGGTCAAGAAAGCAGCGCCTCAACCCTCGCATGGATATTCTACTACCTTAGCAAGAACCCCGACATCCAAGAAGCCGTTCGCAAGGAGATCGCCGACGTTCGGGCCCACACCGGTTTGGACACACATCTGTCGACGCAGGATTATGACAGCATGACTATGCTCAATATAGTCATCAAAGTATGCCGGTCGCAAATTTGTGTTCATAGTCTAATTGAGGTATTCAGGAAACCCTGCGTATGCATCCGATCTTAGGGACTTTTCCGCGTGTTGCCCAATTCGACGATATCATTCCTTTGGGCGAACCGATGTTGACGACGGATGGCCGGACGATTGACCGTATTCCAATCAAGAAGGGTCAAGTGATTGAGTGCACTGCTCATGGATATAACCGGTATGCCCTCTCTGACATGCCTGTAAATTACGACTAACAACATGGAAAAGAAACCCCGCTGTATGGGGCCCGGACGCGGAAGAGTGGAATCCCAGACGCTGGGAAAAGAAGATCGAGAACTTCGTCAACGCGCCCTTTGGCTGTTCGCTCACGTTTGGTCAGGTCTAATATGATCAGCGTGATTGGATACTCACAATACTATCAGGTGCCGGTGCTCGTGGATGTATTGGCTGGCGATTTGGGTGAGTTCTTACATAGAGCTTTCATGCAGCCAACTACTGATCCAGCTGTGCAGTGTGATGGAGCTTCAGAGCTATACCACCGAAATGCTTGAGAACTTCCGATTCCAGCCATCCAAGGAGACCGATGCTGTGATAGCTTGGCCGGGAGTTTTCTCGAGTCCCCGGCTTGCTGGTCGAGGAGGCGAAGGCGCACAAATGCCTCTCTTCGTCACTCCACTCTAGTGCAATCAAGGTTAGAATAAGCGTCATATACTAGTAAATTGTAGACTTCTGTACACGCTGGGCACTGACAGAACAAAAATCATATCGATTTGCATCGCACATCTGGAGTACGGGAAATAACAACTCGTATTGAACAGCACGCACTATACCTGTAGGCCGATTAGAATGAGAAAAGAATGTATGCATTCCTAATTCTCTATGCAGAATCAGATCATTATAAAAGATGTATTGAGCTCAGCTTCAATCCATTATCGATGGGCGCATTAAACTCGAAGGTAGGAGGTTGCTTTGCTGTCAAGAAAAATGGTAAACATTCTTGTATGGGCTTGACCGGGAATTGAACCCGGGACCTCCTCCAAATAATGCCGAGCAATACAGCGCCCTAAGAAGGAATCATACTACTAGACCATCAAGCCACGTGCCTGAGACTCGCCCTTATTGCCACCTTTCCAACGCGGCCATACCGGCTTCCACACGGGCGACACAGGAAACCAGTGATACAATACTGTACAAATTGAAGGTGGTTAATACAATGCAGTATCATCGTGATGAGACATAGCTACGAGTAGGGTACGGTCTGATATACTCGACACTCGTGATTTGTCCATCAGACTCCTGAGTCGTCGAAATATCCTCAGACTCTTTGGTAACATGAGGGAGCACCGACGAAGATGGATTGTTGGCCATCGACACTATGCTTGGGAAGTAGTTTTGCTCCGTGAAGCCAGACATTTCTGCGGACCCGTGGCGTAGTTGGTCGTTCTTTCGTGATTCCATATCCAATCGTAACGCGACCAGCACAACGATGAGTGTCGGCGCAATTCCCTAAGAAGATCTTAGACACACCCAGGGCGGCGAACGAGGAGACAAACCGTGATTCTAGCAATCACATCAACGACAATGATGACTCCAGGGTTTCCCAAGACGGCCAGAATAGCAAAGACAATGAGCGCGCCCAAGTACAATGCGCCGGACTCGATGAGCACAAGAAGTATGGTAAGGGAAGAGTGCTTCGCATTCCTGTGTTGCCGCTTCCGCATGTCACGAATGTACCACCTGGAAAGAAGCTCAGCTGACGGTCTTCCTCTCGGCTAAAGCTCCAGATAAAGGAATATTGGTAGCGCACCATATTCTCCCAGCGATGAGTCCAGTGGAAACAACATTGGTGAGCATAACCAGGATGGCGAACGCGAGGGCCCATCCTGAGCCACGCACTACGCCTTCGATATGGGCGCGGGACTGCTGCCATACCCCGACGACTCCGGTCACTTGATAAAGTCAACCAACGGATAGAAAATGCGAACAGGGCAGATATACCTGTGCTCCCAAAAAGCAGCGCGCACGGCAGGACGACCGACCTCCAGTTGTATGCCCAAAGTACCCAGGCTCTCCATATGAGGATAAAATCGACTATAATGCACTGGATAGAATAAGTTCCCACCGCGCCAAGGCCAGAGAGCTCGAGGACTCACGGAGACGAGTTCCATGCCCAGATGGGCTACGAATATCCAGCCCTTCTGGTGATTGAATACCTTGTCGGCATTGTGGTGGATAGCGAACGCATGGAACGTTTCCCAGAAGGATAGGGAGAGATGCACGGTTGAGATGAGGTACGGGATGATGGTCAAAATTTTGAGCGGGAGGGAGAGAAAGCCTTTTCCCCTCCAAAAGAATGACAGCGCGATAAAAAACAGCACGGTGTATATTCCTAAGGATTGTTGGTTTCCTGTGTATTCAAAGAAAACTTGCACGCGCACCGTGGAGGAGGGCCGAAGTGAACAGAGACACGAAGGATGCCCCCGCGGGCGAAAGCCCCGACATCGTGGAATAGACTCAAATGGTGGGAGTGAGATGTTGGTTTTCACACATGCCCCACTTATATGCAAGTCAATGAAAGTAGAGGAAGACGCGGGGCGAACCTGGGGTTGCATCGGCATATGTCAGTTGCCACAGCCAGGGTGAGTAGGTATCATACAAAATTCCAGGAACTTGATGCACATTGTCTTCTGTCAATGTCATTTCGACGTTCGTACATACACGTGTTTGTTAATCGCGATGCGAAAAAAGAGCAATTTAGGAAGCTCGGATGTGGGCTTATGCTGTCAATTGAAGATGGTGGCTACGGTGATGGCGACAGCAGTTACCACTCCTCGATCTCGTGAGCCTCACGTTCAGATGGAAGCTCATTCAGAAGGCACGTTGTCGTCGATCGATTTGTCGTTTTCCTCTTTTGACCACCATGGTGAATTCCTGAACCCCGAAGTGCAGTATAGCGGAATTTCCAGTATCCGCGTTGTAAAAAATGTTTCGTCTCTAGTTCTTGTATGCAGCGCCATCTAGCTCTATGTGCAGTGAATAGAGGTATAGAGGTATTCCATAACCATTTTCAGCGACTACTCGAAGCTGATCCTCCGGGGCTCTGTCTTGGTTATGCACTGTAGTTCTCAGTCTCACGAGGGTTAGGCTCTATATCTCTCTTCAGGAACCCAGAGCCGGCATGCTAAATTCCCCACATCTACCCCATGGGCCATCGCCAACGCAAAAATGCGCGAAGAACTTCGACTTGGGAGCCAGAAGGGTTTCGAGTCGGAAAATAAATGTCATGCAGCGATTCTAGCTCCACATCCGAGCGCCCAGGTTATATAATCACATTAGGGAAAAGGAACAAGTATTGCGGGTGGCACTGCTCAATTCACCCTCTCCAAGATATTCCCACATGCTATCCACATATGCGAACCCTTAGTTCCTTATATCATCTATGCCTTCGAAAACAGAATCGATAATGCGCGAAACTCCGCGGTGGTGGCCGTGACGGCGGGAATCGTCGTCGTCGTCGTCGTCGCCTTGTCGGTGGTGCTGCAAAATCAAAGCATAAAGATGTAGGTCCATGACTATCCAGAATGACCTACCTTCTCAACACCGAGTTCACGTTTGTCCCTCACATCTCCTATGCCGTCAAACACAGAGTCGATGATACCTGAAATTCCGTGGTGTCCTCCGCGATCATGGCCATGGTGATGGCGCCTCTTCAAGTCTATAGTCTCTTCAGTGGACGACCACTGCGATAGAGTTAATCATATTGGTTCGCTTAGATCGAGGAGAAAATCACTTTGGATGACCCTTTGCTTCCCAGTTGAGTCTTGCTGGACGAATCCACGGACAGTGGCAAGGCGCTGACGGCGACGAGCACTGAGAGAATCAAGGGGTATGACTGCAGCTGCATTGGGGGGTTGGCGATGTGTGAGGTATTGCAGCTCTATGGTGCATTTTATCTACCACAAACCGTGAATACCGTCCGTCCCGTTGGCAATAACAGACAGCTTGACCTCTCGGGTTGAATATGATGAGCCCGACTGTAATATTAGATATTTGTCTGATGGATGATGGACCCACAAGATGCTTAAGCGTGACTTACACCTGACCGTGTTCAGTTTATGTGTGGCGCTCCTGACGTCAATTGCCGGATGGGGCCGGATAATCCCGCCCTGAAGGGTCACACACGTCACGTCGAGCGCACCTTTACCGCTGACCACGTCGACCCAGCTCGGGCGCGTATCATTATCTTTTCGTATTTTGCACGCACTGGAAGACGACGACGATGGCGCAATGGGGCCAGCAAGGATTTCAGCAGCCTGGCTTCCAGCAGCAGCCACCATTCCAGCAACAACAACAGCCTCAGTTCCAGCAAAGTATGGGCATTAACCCTAATCAACAATTCGTCCAGCAGCAGCAGCAACCGTTGATGGCGCAGCGGACGGGATTTCCGGGAGGCGGGATGCAACCTCAGATGGGCATGCAACCTCAGATGACGGGATTTCCAGCTGGAGGGATGCAGCCCCAGATGACAGGATTCGTGGGTGGATCTGGGTTCGGCAACCAAGGCCTTGCACACCGCGCTCCGCCGCCGCCGCCAGTGCCGCAGATGCCCCCACAGTTTCAAGGTCAGCAACAGCAAAGGTGAGCACAGCCCGACGCGCACTTCGATCGACGTCTCATGCGCATTCCAGCGGATTTTTACAGCCTCAGCAGCAGCAACCAAACCGCTTCCTTAGCCCTTCCCCTGGTATTGGCGCCGCGTCAGGCATTCCGCCGATTGCGTCGCAGCCGACTGGATACGGAGGCATCATGCCACAGCAAACAGGCTTCCCAGGTGCTGCGCGTCCGCTGGTGCCCCAGGTCACAGGCTTCATGGACCCCAAGCTGCAGATGATGTCGACCACATTCATGCCGCTCAACCAGTCTGCGCCCTACCAAGGCGGCGCTCCACAACTGCCTTCGATGAACTCTCTTCCCGGCGGGCAAAATCTTGTCCAAGGCTTCCAGAACTACAACCAGGACGTCAAGGGCTCTGCGACGGTCAAAGTTCCGTGGGCACTGACCAAGCATGAGAAGAAGCAGTACGATGGCATCTTCCGCGCTTGGGACAAGGACAACACTGGCTTTATCAACGGCGCGACTGCTCTTGAAGTGTTCGGCCAGAGCGGTCTTGGCAAGGACGATCTCGCACGCGTCTGGTATGTAACCGCACTATTTGGAGTACTAATTATTGATAACATATTCCAGGGCTTTGGCCGACGTCGACGATCGAGGCATGCTAAACCTGCCTGAATTTCATGTCGCGATGGGCCTTATCTATCGGCGTGAGTGACCAAAAAAATATCAACGCGGCTCTTGCTTATGTCCCAACAGGCCTCAATGGGAACGACTTACCAGACACCTTACCCCCAGAGCTTGTCCCCCCTTCGGCGCGCGACCTTGACGGCTCGGTCAATTTCCTGAAGGACATACTTAAGAACGAGAACCGTTCCCGTTCGCCTTCTGGTGCCGACACGCCTGTCTCTCGCCTGAAAGACCGTTCTCTGTACGGCAACGGGGGCTCTGGTATCAACGCTGGACGCGACGCTACTATTTACAAGCACGAAGACTCGCCACCTCCAGGCGGTGTTTACAAACCATCATCACGACATGTCGACCGTGAAGCTGTCCGCTCGCGCAATGACATTGGACCTGGAGCTGACCTCAAGGAGATGAAGAATATGCTCAGTAACACTTCAAAAATGCTCGAACGTGCCAATGCCATGGATGCTGAAAAGACTGAGGAAGACGAAGAGCTCGAGAGAGAGATGGAAGACCTTCGGTACCGAGTCAAGCGTGTATCGGACGACCTTGATCATGCCAGTCGTGGTCCACGGAACTATTCTAAAGACCAGCGGAAGCGCGAACTTGAGCGTGAGTTACTCACCCTCACCCACGATGAAGTCCCTCGACTCGAACGTCGACTCAAGGATCGTGAGGAGCGCCGGGAGATGGAGAAAAGGCAGTGGGTTCGTGACCGCGACCGTGCGAACGATCGCTTTGGAAAATACAGCGACCGCGATGACTACCGGGCACCTTCTCGAGGCTATGATGATCGTGA